TTCTATCTCCAAATAGACTAAGAAAGAAAGAGAGCTTTCCAAGTTACATATTGTTAACCAAGCTTCTCTTTTGGATTGAAGCTCTTTCTCATTGAGACTCTGCTATCTTTGCTATCATACCTTTGTGTGTCACAGCATGAATAAATTGTAAATTTTCCTGAGGGTTTAATAACAATCACAGAAACTGGTTTTTTTTTCTTTGTTTGCATATCTATTTAAAAAAGCCCTCGAAACTAATGTCTTACTGTGGCATATGTATTTACGCTCCTGAGATCAAAAGCTGTCTAGGTAAAATCTATTGCACTGTCAATCCTGTGCAGCTCTTTTGTTTTTTAGTGTTTATAAATTTCAAATATTAAATCTCTTTACTTCATTTCTCTCTCACATAAGAACATACACTCTCAATACAAAGAGACTGTGGAAAAAAGGACTGTGTGAAACTTCTCTTCTGCAGCAGGCCCAGGTAGTTATGATGAAAGTACTGCAGTGTAGAAAAGATAAAAAGATGTTAAGATGTTTCTTTCTGTTATATAAGTTGGGTCTCTGTGAGAAGTAGCACCTAACTTGCATTACAGTACCAGACTCATGTAGAACAGTCCAAAAAATATAGCTTTAAAAACAACGAAAAGCTATTTCAGTATATCTGGGTTTCTTATGTGTATATATGATACCAATGTATGGATATAAAGGATTGACTGACAGTTTTCCTTAACACTGATTTTCAGCTTGCTGTGACCAGTTTGATCATACAATTTCTCCACTGTATGGACAAAATCACTCAGACTTGTTCCAGTGTGGATGCCATAGTTTTGACAGAGACAGGTTGAATATAGCTAGGCATCGTTTAGTCATGTTGCAATGCAGATTATGCTTTTAGATTATTCAGACACAGCACCTACTTTTGGATCCATGCTTTGCCATACTCTTGAAATCTGAAAGTTTGGGGCTTAATCCCCAGAACTGGAATAGTACCAAGGTGGGAAACTTGTGGCCTTCCCAATGTTGCCAGTCTACAATTCTCATGCTGATTGGGGCTGATGGGAAATGGACTTCAACAACATCTGGAAGTTCACAGGTTCCCCTCCCCTACCCTAGTGGGTGACTTACACTGGGAAATCAATGCTGGGTATTCAGCCTGTTAGTTTTCCTGGTCCTTTCAGAGGCTTTTGATACCACTGACCATGGCATTCCTCTGGATCACCTAGACTAGAAGCTAGTGAATACCTGTTCTCCACAAGTAAAGAAGGTCAGCTAGCTCTGGGGAGGCACCACCTCTAGGTCTAGAAAGGCATACTCAAAATGAACTCAAAAGAAAGTAGGGCCTCCCCAGTGGTATCCGGCTGATGATTCCAACAAGTCAGATCAGGTAGATGCCCTGGATGTACTCCTTGACATGGAGAAGGGCTGAGAATGCCAGAGAAGCCAAGAAAATGCTGCCAGGAGGACCAACTCTCTTACTAGGCTGGTCTTTTAGAATGGCCACTCAAGGCACAATAGTTGGAGCTGAGACATCAGACTAAGATGCATCCCTCCTTTTCTGGAGTAATGGTCACATCAACAGAAGATAATGTGCATGTCTAATAGTGGTAAGGGCAGAGGTAGCAGGCAGCAATGATATTGGAACTGACACTGGAGGACGATCATTCATAGATTATAGTGATGCTCAAGCCAATTCTGGTTACTACTGCATAGAAGAAGGCAATGGTAAACTACTTCTAAATGCTCTTACCTTGAAAACCCTATGATAAAACAATCTTAAATGAAGTGAGAGATAGTGCCAGAAGTCTCCCAGGTCAGATGGCACTCAATCAGCTATTGAGAAAGAGCAAAGTACCAGCACAACTAGTACTGTTCCTAGTAACACACTAGAATAAAGCCAAAGGAAGTCTAGTGGCTGACATGCACAGAGGTGAAATGTAAGGTCTGAGGCTGCGCAATACATTTAATTGGAACATGAAACATGAGAAGTCTGAACCAAGCAAAATTGGATACCATAAAGCAAGAAATGGAACTTTAAATATTGCAGTACTTGATGTGAGAGAACTAAAAGAGACTGGAATGGGACATTTTCAGTCAGACAATCACAAAGTGTTTCAATCTGGAAACGACAAACTCAGATGAAACGGAGTGGCTCTAGCACTGAGACAAGGTGAGGCACAAGCAGTAATGGGCTGTCATACAAAGTCCAGCCAAATAATATTAAATCAGAATTTGTAGAAAACCTATCAACAAAACCACCATTCAAGTTTATACTACAACAATAGATGCTGAGGAAGAAATGGAAAACTTTTATGCAGGTACCCAAGAGGAAATTGATAATACACCAAAGCAAGAGGTGCTGATACTCACAAGTGATCAGGATCCAACAGTAGGAGACAAAGCAGAATCCAATATTGTATGGAGATTTGGCCTAGGAGTCGCAAATGAAGCCAGAGAACAGCTCATGGAATTAATTCTTGAAACTAACCATCTGGTTATCTCAAATACATACTTTAGACAACCCAAGAGATGACTGTATGCATGGATCATCGAGCGAGCCAGTGTGGCATAGTGGTCAACAGTGCAGGTCTGGGACTCAGGAGATCTAAGTTTTAGTGCCCATTCAGCCATGAAGACAACTGGGTGACTTTGAACCAGTCACGGACTCTCAGTCCACCTGATAATATCATTATTGTTGTTGTGGGGTTAAGATTGAGAGCAGGAGGAAAGAATGATGTAAGCTGTTCTGAATTCTTTAAAAAAGAAAAAGGCAGGATATAAACATAAATAAATATCAAATAAAATAATTATCATCAGACTGCCATTAAATAAATAAATAAATAAAACATTCTTGGAAGAAAAAGATGGAGAATCTGCATTCTCACTTCCAAAGTAAAGCCAGGGGCAGACTGTGGTAGTTATCATGAACTATTAATATCAAAAATCTCAGGTAAAGTTGATTTACTAGCAGAAGCATAATGCTAACTCCATCTTGAATTACATTCCTGAGGAATTTAAAGTCCATACAAAGAAAAGATTTTCAATAGCTGACCATGAACCACAACTGTGGACTGAAACCAGAGGCATTATTAGGGAGGAATGCCAAAAGATGGCTCAAATAGCAAATAGAAAGAAAGAGCCCAGGCAGATGACAAAAGAAACTCTCACAATTGCTTGAGTCAGGTGAGAAGCAAAAGCAAAGGTAGTAGAAATAGGGTCAGAATAATGAATGCCACTTTTCAGGAACTATTATGTAGAGATAAAAAGAATGATTACAATGGCCAGTACAAAGAAACAGAAAAGAACGATGGGAGGCAAAACAAGAGACCTCTTGCAGAAGATTCAAGAAATCAAAGGACAAGGAAAAACCAACAAGGGAGCATACCATCTGATCAGGAGAAAATAAAGAGAAAGTAAAAAGCATATCCAGAAGAATTATACAGAAGAGATGAAATGATGACAGACTGCTTTAAAAAGAAATCCTATGAGGAAGAACTTGCAATATTAGAAAGTGAAGTGAAAGCTGCTGTGACAGCACTTGGAAGGAACAAAGCACCTGATGTGGATAGGGCAGCAACAGAACTATTCCCAGGTGCAGAGAACGCATCCGTCCAAATCCTAACAAGAATATGCCAGCAAATACGGAAAGCTAAACATGGCCCACAGATCGGAAATGTTTGATATGCATTCCAGAAAGGTGCATGCCTCCTCACTTGACTGCCTTGTTTGTAACCTGTACTGTAATTCCTTCTTACTGGAAGACATTACCAATTTTATTTTATAATATCATGTTTCTTCTGAGATTAGGAAATATATATCCTCCCTTTGCTGAACTGGATGGAAGGATGATCATCTTTTGAAAAGATTTGTTTTTTTTATTGAGTGACTCTGAGAAATATGTAACCTTTAGAACCGCTGAATTTCTTGTTCTGGCCTTGTATTTGTAAGTAAAGCCAAGGGAACCAATGCAATATATTTAATGTAAAATTGTAAATGGCTGACAGTTATTTATTATTTATATTCCATTTCTATACTTCCCTCCCCCCCCCACAGCTGAAGCTGTATGGGTGGTTTACAATAATCCATAAAAACAGACAACAGAAATACAATAAAACATAATAAATCAGAAAAAAAAGTTTAAAACAGCTAAAACAGACAATAACAAAGAATCATTCTACAAAACACCTGGGATGGGTAATTTCCCCTCCAGTGGGTTGCAAAGTAAGTCTTTAAAGGCCTCCAAGAAGAGGACTATCTTAGCCTGGTGCTGAAAAGATGACAAATTTGGTGCCTGCTGGACCATGTTGGGGAAGTTGTTCCATAGATGAGGGACCACTACAGAGAAAGCTATCCGCTTTGTTGTCATCCTCCACACTTCCCTTGGAGTTGGCACTTGAAGGTAGGCCCCAGAGGTTGAGCATAGCATCTGAGTAGATCGTGGTTTGGAGAAGCACTCCAACAGGTATTCTGGTTGTAAGTCATGTATGGCTTTATAGGTTAAAACCAGCACCTTGAATTGGAACTTGAAACATACCAGCAGCCAATGCAAGCAGGCCAGAACCAATCTTATGTGCTCAGACCTACAGGTCCTAGCTATTAATTTGGCTGTCACATTCTGCAACTGCACCTTCTCAACCATCTTTGGGGGAAGCCCCAGGTAGAGTGCATAGCAGTAATCTAATTACTGAAGCACACTGTGCCACTGAGGCGACCTGAGCCTCAAGTGTCAACGATAGATCAAGAAGTACCCCCAAGCTTTAGAGTTAGTGCAACCCCTTCTAGAACAGGTTGAACACCTGCCATTCAGTCAGGGAACCACCCACCAACATCATCTCAGTCTTCTCTGGACTGAGCTTTAGTTTGTTATCCCTCATCCAGTCCATTGTTGCAGCCAGGCACTGGTTTAGCACATCCACAGTCTCACCTGCTGATGATGAAAAGGAGAAATACAATGGTGTGTCATCAGCATACTGATGGCAACACACTCTAAAACCACTCAGTGGTTTTATGTAGATGTTAAATAGTTGGGGACAGAAAAGACCCCAGAGGAACTCCAAGCTGGAGAATCCATGGGGCTGAACAATATTCCCCCGGCACAACTTTCTGGAGATGACTCTTCAAGTAGGAGCACAACCAAGGCAATGCAGTGCTCCCTACTCAGACAGTAGCCCCAGAAGAATACCATGGCTGGTTGTGTCAAAAGTTGCTAAGAGGCCCAGGAGTATCAACAGGGACACACTTCTCTTGCTTCTCCCAGCATAGGTCATCATACAGAGAGAGCGACCAAGGCTGTTTCCATGCCAAATCTAGACTTGCACTCCAAATGAAATGGATCTAGATAAGCGGTATCATCCAAGAGTGCCTGGGGTTGATTGGCAACCACCTTCTGGAGAACCTTGATCAGGAAGGGACTATTTGCTTCCGGTGTAAATTTATTCAGACCTTCTGGGTCAAGCGGGGGTGGGCTTCACCAGAAGTGGTTTCACCACCACCTCTTTAAGCAGCATGGGACTACTCCCTCTCACAAAAAGGCATTGAACACCTCCCTGGCTCTGTTGGTTTTTGCTTCCTTGCTGGTGTTTATAAGTCAGGAGGGCAAGGATCCACTACAGACCCTGGCTAAACACCTTATCAACATCCTTGAGCTGTACTAAATGAAACTCATCCAATAAAACAAGCCCAGCTCAGGCTGAGCTCTGGATAACTCGACAGATTCAACTGCTTAACTTTGGAGTACAAATCCTTGCAGATGCAAGAGGCCCCCACTCCCCTGGAAGTGCCCAGCAAGTAAATTACCGTGGCCCTGAGATGATTCCAAGATGTTCCTGGGGCTAGAATGCCTTGGAAAGCTGCACTGGGCAAAAGGAAGACTGAATAGACGTAGAATAGAAATATTTGAAATTCCAATCCAGAGAACTGCCAGCATGTCAAGTAGGCTTGAAGCTGGGACGGCTATCATTTGAAAGCTCATGAAGCTCCCTCATCCTGCTTGTCCTATTGGAGAAAAGCCTCTGTGTGGAAGCCTCCCTCCCACTTCCCCAAAGCCCCACATTCTATATACCTAGGAAGGGAAGTAGTTTGTGGACAATGACACACACTGAGTTCAATCAAGGTAAGTCCAATCTTGGCTTGGAAAAATGGATATGCCAAAAGGCATTCTCTAGAGTAGGGATGGGCCACTGTGAGACACAGGCTTTTCTACTGTCAGCTGTGGGGCAAAAACAAGCTCCTCAAGCTTCTGCAACTTTTTTCCTCTTGCAACTCATGATGGGGTCCAGGCAGGCTCTGGATCCTGGGCAATATGGGGCCATTTATTATAGTTATGGTAGTACAAGATATTCAAATTAATGGAACTATACCAGTACAAATAAATCCTGACTCATCCCTTTGGTCCAATACACCACTGTCTGGAAGTTACAATTAAGGGTAACATTCTGAAGTTATTAAATGGAGTATAAAATATAATAATAAGTAATATAATAATAACAAGGAAGTATAAATGATAATAAAACTAAACAAAGAATTTTCCAAGTTAACCTAACAGTTAATGGAAAGCAACATTAAGCAATTATGCATGATCTGACTTCAGTATAAGGAAATACAAGGCTGAAGAGATTCTGCAGTTATGTGCATCATTTCTAAATTCCCTGTTAGTTTCCAGATGATACTCCAAAAATCCCATGAGGAAAAATGGGGAAATGTTTGTCAGAAGTTCAAGATACAAATCAGTTTGTTAATACTGGACAATGCACAGCCATTTATTTAATTACCTTCAGTACATCCATTTGTTGGTTTCTTGCTTTTAGTGGAATGCACACATGCATGATAGATGCTTAGCTACTGACTGAGCCAGCATGCTATATGAATAACTTCTTTGCCAGGTAAATCAACCGCAGGCACCATAACTAAAGCTGGTGCTTTCTTGCCCATTTGCTCTTCAAGATGTCTTTGGAGTCCTGTAACACACACAAAAAAAGAGATCCACTAATACCTTTCCATTCATTGAAATGTCAGCTATTGAACAAACTAATTTCAAATAGTAAAGATGTATATCTAATCTAAAAGGAAAAGAATCTGATTGAAAATACAGAGAGAATAGATTGCAAATTCATGGTACAAAAATATACTGAGACTAGCATACTTGATTTTAAACTGAATTTCCTATTTACTGCATTTTGGAAGCAAATTTCAATTGAACTGTTAAATTGCAGGCTGCAATCATATGCATACTCACTGGGAACTACAGCCCAACAGAATTCAGTGGGATCTGTTTTTGAATAAGCAAGCATGGTTTAGAAAGCAAGTGAATAATGTTGACGGTCTGTTAAAAATGCTTATTCTGATAGAATGGGTGCGTTTAACTCAGAAAAAGCAGCATTTGTGGGAGAAGCCTGGTTCCAGGGTCTAAAGCTTTACTAGTTCTGGTAGGTCACACTCTTTCAAGAATCAGATTTGCAACTTGGAGGCCACTTCTGGATCCAGGGCTGTTCCTCAAGGGTTGCAAATGATGATGACTACATGCAGCCTGCGGGACTAGTGTCAAGGGTAGGCAAGGTTAGGCAATGGGTAACAGGAGGCCTACTGCAAAGAATCCCTTGGAATTAATTGCCCTTCTTTGCCTGTTCGTTCACCCGCCTCTTACTCTGGCCCAGACAACAATGGTGGTGGGAAGCAAGGTTAATAAATGCCACTGCCTAGTTGCTCATGGTCATTGCTGTCTGTTGAGCAAGTGTCAGCAATGATGAGAAAGGAGAGCATGAGGAACAGCCTCTGGTGGCAATGGCAACAAGAAGGCAGGGCCCATTAAGAGTGTCATACCCAAGGACCTGAAGCCAGCAATGGCAGCATGCCTCTGAAAACCAGTTGCCTTGACAGAACAGCCTCAGCACCTGTCGGTGTGATGCACAGAGACTATGACAAAGAACTGTGGGCATCATGCTCTGCTTCTGGGCTTCCTAAGAGGCATCTGGTCAAGAAGATAAGCTTTGGGTCTGGTATCGCAGGTGTGCTCTTCCCATACTGGGTTGTCTAAGTATACAATGTTCATTCCCTTAGAGTGGATCCACTGAAATTAGAAATGACTAACATGAAGTCCTATTCACTTCCATGTGTTTATCTTAAGTAGGATTAACAGTGGACACAACCCATTATATCTTAAAAATCATCTCACTTTCCTCTCTTTATGGAGTTGCTGAAAATGGCTAAGGGTTGGAGAATGCTGGGACTTGTAGGACTTTTCCTGCTTGAACTTGCAAATTCAAAACTAATATGAATTAAATTAATAGTTATTCACATAATGAGAATTATAAATAGATACCAAAATAACTGCAACCAGTACAAGAAGAAACCTTAGGAAAGTCAGTTAGTGTATAATATGAACAACTTAAACAGAAACAGAGTTAAAAGCTTGCTTGAAAAAGAAAAGTCTTCAAGTATTGGCAGAACACCAGTAAAGATGATGATAATTTAATTTATGTTCTTATGTAGATGTTCAGATTGCAGCTTAGCTAGGAGAGACTTTTCTCAGTTTTGTGAACTGGAAATTGGCAATGTCACACATGACTTGGTAACTTCTAGACTTGATTGTTGTAATCAGCCACCCTGATAATGTGATTGAAGGGTGGCATATACATCTAAATAATCAAATAAGATGAAGACAGTTTGGAAATGGAAGCTGGTTCAAAATGCAATTTATGTAGGTAATTAAAGTATAAATAAACAAATCTATTCTATAACAATTATCCTTGTGATCTGTTTTTTAAAGGGCAGAGAAAAGAACAGTACAAAAACACCCCTACTTTGATATTAACTACTAGATAGTACCTCGGTAAAAATGTTCTTACTTTATTGGGTCAAGATTTTAATTTTAAAATGTTTTTTAATGTTTTAATTCTGTTGTTATTTATGGGATTATTATTGGCTCCAAACACATTCTTCTTATATTTTTTAAAGTGAACACTTAGACATATGCCCCATGGATATCAATGAGATTTCCATGTGAGTGTGTTAGATTGTGATTCAAACCTGAATGTGTCTTCAATGTGAAGAACTATTATTTCTTTATAGTTTCTGCAGAGTGAAATGCATGTTACACTTCTCTTTGTTAAAAAAACAACTTGTTCTTTAAAGATGCTCAAGAGTTATTTATTTGATGACAGAAATGTCTTATCTGTGGATCTAACCATAAATGCTAGACATCAGATGTGGAATTAATCCGGGTAATTCAAATAAAGTGTGAATAATGCAAGGAAACATATCCAAACAACAGAAAAGTATCCCTACCTGCCCTTGCGCCCCCTAAGATCTGCAGAAGAGGCTCTGTTCTGGGAATCCTCCCTGAAGGAGGTAAAAAGGATGTCCACTCGAAGCAGGGCCTTCTCTGTGGTGGTGCCCAGACTCTGGAATGCACTGCCCAGAGAGGTTTGCCTGGTGCCGACTTTATATTCCTTTCAGCACCAGGTGAAAACCTTTTTATTTATCAGCCATTTTAAGAACTAGGAATTTTAACTGGTTTTAAAACTCACAGTTACATTTTGATTTTGTTTCTGTTGGTATTATGTTTTTGTTGTTTATTGTTATTTGCTTGCTTTATCAATTGTTATAGTATTTGTAAGCCGTCCTGGGACATTTTTCATATAGGATGGGATATAAATATTTTAAATAAATAAAGTAATGAATAAAAGTAAATGCAAAGAATACTTTCTTAAAAGAGGTGCTTCAGTTTTTAAGCAATGTAGACTTACTAAACAATGAAATACTCTATAGCCATAAATATTTTCTAGGTTTGAGCAGTAGGGACTGGATCTGAAAGATGTTAGTGCACAAAGATCACATGCTTTGGCTTTTAACTGGCCTCCTATCATCAGATTCTGCAGTTCTGCAACTGTTGTATGTGACGTTTTATACCATTTAGATTTTTGGTAATGTAGGATTTCTCATACACACCCTGCAAGCCTAAGAAGGAGTTAACAGATGAAAATTGTTGATGTCAGAAGTGAATATTGACAGAGCTGACCCAAAATCAATAGTTGCCTCAGAGGTCAAAAGGACTCCATGTTCCATGTTCAAAGAAACTCAAGTTTATGTATTCTAGCAATGCACTGATTCAGCATCAGCTGAACACTACCATGACAATAAAGCAATGGGAAATGCACACACATCTGCTCTTTTACACACTTAACAAAGCCTTGGCTTGAACTTACTAGCACATAAGCCTTTCTGGACACAATCATATGTAAGCTTATACGGAAAAAAGTCCTTTAACTCCTAGCGTGCCACAGCCAGCTTTATATTTATATTGCTTTCAGCAGGCATTTTATTAGGCTTGATAACTCCTCACTGGCTTTGGACCTAAGCTGCCTATTCACATATACTATTTACATCAATTTTTCTGCAGGACTGCTATTTTTGACTTCAAATATATTTAAGAAATTTTCTATTAAATTTAACGTCTAACATTCTATGAAACAAATGCATACTATCAATGCCACAGCAAAGAACCCTAACAGAATATTTGGCAAGGTAATGAAACCTTCAAAAACAGAGACTTATATAGTGCAATGTGCGAATACTAGAAAGGTTGGAGATAGAATAAAAATGTGACATTTTGAAATTTAAAATGTATATGCAATGGGGCGCATTAATCACAAAGTTGCCACTTAGTGTTCAGATACTGGCAAGAGAAAAAAGATACATGCATTTAATTTCAAACTGCTGCTTTTTATACAAGTTAATTCATGCTTTCATGCATATTGTTCCATTAATATTCCACAGTGTCTCTGTCAACATAATAAGCAGTTGTTTTGATGCAAGGTTTTAGACAAGTAATCTATACTTCAGAAACAAGGTTCTTGTCATGTGCCAACTACATCAGAGAACCATGAGGACTAGCCTTGAAAGAAAGAAAGGAAGGAAGGAAATAAGGAAGGAAGGCCCTTTTAGCTGATGGAGTCAAAAGTATGATCATTGCAGAAAGAAAGAGTGCAATTATCAGCCAAAATAGTGCAATTCCAGAATACCACCCCTCCCCCGCTTTTGGTGTCTTCATGATGTTCATTTCTCTACTATTCCGCTCTGCACTGAAACCAAATATACTGTTATATCACTTAGTGCAGCCCTTTAAATCCCAGAGCTCATAAAGCTCCATTGCTTCAGCTGTATGGATTTGACATGCAGCATGTGCTTTGAAGGGAAGCTTCACAGGGGATCAGGTTCCTAACAGTCAACTAAGAGTTCCAGTCCCAAAAGAGGTGCCCCTGGCGTGCCGAGCACTTAACCCTTCGACCAGTACCAACATGACTGTTCACAAATTATTGATGTCTCTAAATCCCTGGCAGATTGCAGACAGGTCTTGTCTCCCTTGAAGCCGAAGCATATGGTCACTAATGGGATGGATTAGGAAAAAAAATACATGCACACACTCAGCCTTTGCCACATGAATGTAAAGCCACAGAAACGAGAGAAGGTGATTGAACTGGACTGAACACTGCTAAATACATGATTAGCCTCTTGTTATGGATCATTTCCATTGATCTATATCTGGTTTTGCAGCACAGTTTAATTAAAGCTGTCTGGAACGAGCCTGTTCTCTAAATGATCAGCTATGCAATGAAAACGTGAAATTTGAGAAAGCTTGAGGCCTTTAAAAAAGCTTCACTGACTTCGTGGTTAATAACAGTAGCAGGAAGGAAAATATATATTCTGCAAAATTAACCATTTTGCTGCTGTAATTTAGGCTTGTGAACTTGGTTCTAAAAGCAAAGCAACCTTGTGTGCGTTTTTAAAAGTTTACTCTTACATTGAATTGAGTTGAAAATGCTTACATATAAGTTCATTATTTCTGAATAAAAGGGTTAAAACAGTACAATCCTAGGTATATGACTCAAAGGTAAGACCATAGGAATGTAATAGGGCTTACTCCCAGGTGTACAGGATATGTGTATAGGATGGCAACATA